CAGTTTGAATCTCCTCCCTCGCCTACTTTCTTCATCTTACTCTCTTTCCTCACCCCTTCTCTTCTTCTTTTTCTTTTCTCCTACTTTCACGTCTTTCTCTTCCATTTCTCCTTTTGTTTCTTTTTCATTTCTATTTAATTTCTTTCTTCATTGCTCTTCCCTCAACCAAAGATGAAAAGAAATTTGATCATTTGTTGCTAAACCTTTTACCAATGTTTTCAATCTTTTCTGGGAGTTCGTTTTTAATGCAAAATTGCAAAAAGGACAAAATGAACTTTGACATTGGCTATTATGTTTACAAATATTCGCTTTGATAGAAAAGTGACTGAATTTCATTTTTTTTCTTTTTCGTTTACTTTTTCTTTATCCTTTTTCTGTTTCGTTTCCCTTTATCCATTCATAGGTATGTTTAAAAGAAAATGCCTAAAACTAAAATCCCAGACATCTGAGCGTCCGTATTAGATGTTGTATTTGAATAGCATCTATCTTTTCCCTTTGACCAATCTCTTTATTTCTTACTATCTCTTCGTCCTCTGTCTTTTGTTCTTTTTTTTCATTCATTTCTTCCTTTCTCTTCCATTTCTCCTTTTCTTCCTCCTTTCTCTTCCATTTCTCCTCCTTTTCTTCCCCCTTTTTCTTTTCATTTCTCCTTTTTCATTTCTCCTTTCTTCCTCCTTTCTCATTTCTCCTTTTCTTCCTTTTCTTCCTCCTTTCTTCTCCATTTCTCCTTTTTTCTTCCTCCTTTTCTCTTCCATTCTCCTTTTCTTCCTCCTTTTCTCCATTTTCATTTATCCTCCTTTTTTCCATTTCTTTTCTTCCTCCTTTCTTCTCCATTGCTCCTTTTTTCTTCCTTTTTTTTCCATTTCTCCTTTTCTACCTCCTTTCTTCTCCATTTCCTTTTTATTCCTCCTTTCTCTTCCATTTCTCCTTTTCTTCCTCCTTTCTTTTCCATTTCTTTTTTTTTTCCTTTTTTCTTCTCCTTTTCTTCTTTTTTCTTCCATTTCCTTTCTTCCCTCTTTTCTTCTCCATTCTCCTTTTCTTCCTCCTTTCTTCTCCATTTCTCCTTTTCTTCCTCCTTTCTCTTCAATTTCTCCTTTTCTTCCTCCTTTTTTCTCTTTCTCCATTTCTCCTTTTCTTCCTCCTTTCTTCTCCATTTCTCCTTTTCTTCCTCCTTTTTTCATTTCTCTTTTTTCTCCTTTTCTTCCTCCTTTTCTTCTCTCCATTTCTTCCTTTTCTTCCCTCCTTTTCTCTTCCATTTTCTCTTTTCTTCCTCCTTTCTCTTCAAATTTCTCCTTTTCTTCCTCCTTTTTCTTTTCCTCCTTTTTTCCTCTTTTTTCTCTTTCCATTTCTCCTTTTCTTCCCTCCTTTTTTTTCCATTCTCCATTTTCTTTTTCTCTTCCATTTCTCCCTTTTCTTCCTCCTTTCTTCTTCCTTTCTCCTTTTCTTCCTCCCTTTCTTCTCCATTTTCTCCTTTTCTTCCTCCTTTCTCTTCAATTTTCCTTTTCTTCCTTTTCTTTTATATTTCTCCTTTTCTTCCTCCTTTTTCTCCTTTTCTTTTTCTTCCCTTTTTTCTCCATTTCTCCTTTTTCTTCCTCCTTTCTCTTTTTCTCCTTTTTTCCTCCTTTTCTTCAATTTCTTTTTTTCTTTCCATTTCTCCTTTTCTTCCTCCTTTCTTTTTCTTCCTTTCTTTTTCCTTTTTCTTCCTCCTTTTTCTTTTCTTCTCCTTTCTCTTCCATTTCTCCTTTCTCTTCCATTTCTCCTTTTCTTCCTCCTTTCTTCTCCATTTCTCCTTTTCTTCCTCCTTTCTCTTCCATTTCTCCTTTTCTTCCTCCTTTTTCCATTTCTCCTTTTCTTTCCTCCTTTTCTTCCTTTCATTTTCCCTCCTTTTCTCCTTTTTTCTTTCCTCCTTTCTTCTTCCATTTCTCCTGAATTTTCCTCCTTTTCTTTTCTCCTTTTTCTCCTTTTTCTTCCTCTTCTTTCTCTTTTTTTTCTTTCCTTTCCTTTTCTTCTTCTTTTTTTTCCCCCATTTCTTTTTCTCCTTTTTCTTCCTCCTTTCTCTCTTCTTTTTCTCCTTTTTTTTCCTCCTTTCTTCTCCATTTCTCCTTTTCTTCCTCCTTTCTTTCCATTTCTCCTTTTCTTCCTCCTTTCTCTTCCTCCTTTCTTCCTTTTTTTCTTCCTCCTTTTCTTCAATTTCTCCTTTTTCCTTTCTCCTTTTTTTCCCCCTTTTTTCATTTTCTTTTTTCCATTTCTTCCTTCCTTTTTTCATTTCTCCTTTTTCTTCCTCCTTTCTCTTCTTTTTTCTCTTTTTTTCCTCCTTTTCTCTTCCATTTCTTTTTCTTTCCTCCTTTTTTCCTTTTTCCTTTCCTTTTCTTTCCCTCCTTTTTTTTCCTTTTTCTCCTTTTTCTTCCCTCCTTTTTTCTTCCTCCTTTTCTTTTTTTTCCTTTCCTTTCTCTTCCATTTCATTTTTTCTTTCCTTTTTTTCTTCTTTTCTTTCCTTTTCTTTCCTTCTCTTTCTTTTCCTTTTTCTTTCCTTCCTTTCTTCTCCTTTTTTTTTTCCATTTTCTCCTTTCTCCATTTTTCCTTTTCTTCCTCCTTTTTTCTTCTCCTTTTTTCTCCTTTTCTTCCTCCTTTTCTTCTTCCATTTTTCCTTTTTCTTTCCTTTCCTTTCTTTTCTTTCCATTTCTCCATTCCTTTTTTTCCTTTTTTCTCAGTCCCTCCTTTTCTCCTTTTCTTCCTCCTTTTTTTCTTTCCTCTTTTCTTCTTTTCCTTTCTTCAATTTCTCCTTTTCTTCCTCCTTTCTCTTCCATTTCTTTTTCTTTCCTCCTTTTCTTCTTTTTCTTTTTCTTTCTTTCTTTTTCTTCCCTTCTCATTTTCTTTTCTTCCTTTTTCTTTCCTCCTTCTCTTTTCTCTCTCCTTTTCCTTCCATTTCTCCTTTTTCCTTTTTCTTCCTTTTCTCCTTTTCTTTCCTTTCTTTTTCTTTTCTTTTTTTTCTTCCTCTTTTTTTCTCCTTTTTCCTTTTCTCCTTTCTCTTCTTTTCTCCTTTTCTTTCCTTCTTTCATTTCCATTTTCTTCTTTTCTTTCCTTTCTTTCTTCTTCTTTTTTCCTCCTTCCTCCTTTCTTCATTTCTCCTCTTTCTTTCTTTTCTTCCATTTTTTTTTTTCTCCTTTTCTTCCTTCTTCTCCTTTCTTTTTCCATTTCTCCTTTTAAATTTCTCCTTTTCCTTTCCTCCTTTTCTTCAATTTTTTCCTCCTCCTTTTTTTTCCATTTCTTCTTTTTTTTTCTCCCTTTTTCTTCTTCCTTTCTCTCCAAATTTTTTTTTTTTTTTTCTCCTTTCTTTTTTCTTTCTCCTTTTCTTCTCCTTTTCTCCTTTTCTTCCCTTCTCTTTCTTTCCTCCTTTCCCTTTTCTCCATTTCCTCCTTTAAATTCTCTTCCTCCTTAGAATTTTCTTTTTCCTTTTAAATTTTCTTCTTCCCCTTTTCTCCTTTTCTTTTTCCTCCTTTTCTTAATTTTTCTCCTTTTCTTCTCCTTTTTCTTCCTCCCTTTTCTTTCTAGCTTCCTTTTTCCTCCCTTTCTTCTCCTTTCTTCATTTTCTTTCCTTTTTTCTTAGATTTTTCTTCCTCCTTTCTCTTCATTCTTTTTTTCCTTTTTTCATTCCTTTTCCTCCTTTTTCTTTCCTTTTCTTTCCTCCTTTTCTTCCCCTTTCCTTCCTTTTCTTTTCTTCCTTTTCTTCCAATTTCTCCTTAGATTTTTCTCATTTCATTTCTTTTTTCTTTTTCTCCTTTTCTTCCTCCTTTCTCTCCTTTTCAATTTTATTTCTTTTCCTCCTTTCTTAAATTCCTTTCCCCTTTTTCTCATTTCTCCTTTTTTTCCTTTTCCATTTCCTCCTTTCTTTCCTTTTTTTTTCTTCCATTTTCTCCTTTTCTTCCTCCCTTTTCTTTCTTCTCCTTTTTCTTCCATTTCCTTTTCTTTCCATTTCTCCTTTTCTTCCTTTTTTCTCTTCATTTCTCCTTTTCTTCCTCCTTTCTCTTTTTCTTTCCTTTTTTTTTCTCCTCCTTTTCTTCCTCCTTTTCTTCTCTCTTTTTTTCTTCCTCTTTTTCTTCCTCCTTTTCATTTTCCCTTTTTTCTCCTTTTTCTTCCTCCTTTCTTCTCCATTTCTCCTTTTCTTCCTCCTTTTCTTTTTCTTTCCATTTTTTCTTCCTTTCTTTTTCCCTTTTTCATTTCTCCATTTTTTTTCCTCCTTTCTTCCCCCTTTTTTTTTTCCTTCCTCTTCCTCCTTTCTTTTCTTTTCCTCCTTTTTTTCCTTTTAGAAAATTTCTCCTTTTTCTTTTTCTCCTTTTTCTTTTTTCCTCCTTTCTCTTCCATTTTCCTTTTTTCCTTTTTTTTTCCCTTTTCTTTTCTTTCCTGATTTTTTCTTCTCATTTCTTTCTTTCTCCTTTTTTTCCCATTCCTTTTTCTTTCCTCCTTTTTTTTCTCCTTTTCTTTTCTCCCTTTCCTTCCTTTTCTTTTCTTCCTCCTTTCTCCTTTCTTCTTTTCTTTCTTCTCCATTTCTTTTCTTCCTTTTTTCTTCCCTTTTCTTTTCTTTTTCTCTTCAGTTTCTTTTTCTTCTTTTCTTTCTCCTTTCTCCTTTCTCCATTTCTCTTTTCTTCCTCCTTTCTCCTTTCTTTTTCTCTTCCTTTTCCTTTCCTTTCTTCCTTTTCTTCCTCCTTTCCATTTTTCCCTTTTTCTTTTTTTTTCTTCCTTTTTTTCTCCCTTTTCCTTTTCCATTTCTCCTTTTTTTCTCCTTTCTTTTCTTCTTTTTTTTTTTTTTTTTTCTTCCTTTTCTTTTTCTCCTTTTCTTCCTCCTTTCTCTTCCAATTTCTCCTTTTCTTCCTTCTTTCTCTTCAATTTCTCTCTTTCTTTTCCTCCTTTCTTCTCCATTTTTTTTCTTTTTTCTTCCTTTTTTCCTTTTTCTTCCATTTCTCCTTTTTCTTCCTCCTTTTAAAATTTCTTTCTTCCTTTTTTTGGGATTCCTTTTCTCTTCCATTTCTTTTTTCTTCCTCCTTTCTTCTTCCTTTTTTTTCCTTTTCTTTCCTCCTTTCTCTGAATTTCTCTTTTCTTCCTCCTTTCTCTTCCATTTCTTTTTTTTTTTCGATTTTTCTTTTTCCTCCTTTTCTTCCATTTTTCTTTTTAAAAATTTCCTCCTTTTCTTTCTTCCTTTTTCTCCATTTTTTTTTTCCCCTTTTCTTTTCCTTTTCTTTCTTTTTCTTCCTTTTATCTTTCTTTCTCTTCCATTTTCTCCTTTTCTTTTCCTCCCTTTTCTTCTTTCCTTTTTTTTCTTTCCTCTTTCTTTCTTCCTTTTCCTCCTTTTCTTCCTCTCCTTTTCTTCTTCCTTTTCTTCTCATTTCTTTTCTTCTATTTTTCTTCCTTTTCTTCCTCCTTTTCTTCTCCATTTTCTCCTTTTCTTCATTTTCTTCATTTCTCCTTTTCTTTTCCTTAAAAATTTCTCCTTTTTTTTCCTTTTTCTTCATTTTCCTTTTCTTCCTCCTTTTTTCCACCATTTCTCCTTTTCTTCCTCCTTTTTTTCTTTCTCTTTTCTTCCTCTTTTCATTTTTTTTCTTTCATTTCCTTTTTCTCTTCCATTTTCCTTTTTTTCCTTTTTCCTCCTTTTCTTCATTTCATTTTCTTTTTTTCCTCTTTTTCTTCATTTCCTTTTCTTCCTTTTCTTTTCTTCTGAAAAAAACATTTCTCCTTTTCTTTTTCTTCTCCTTTTTCTTTCCTTTCTTTTTCTTTTCTTCCTTTTCTTCCTTTTTTCCTTTTTCATTTCTTTCCTCCTTTTTTCTCCTTTTTTCCCTCTTTTCTTTCCTTCCTCCATCCTTCTTTTTCTCTTTTCTTCATTTTCCTTTTTTCTTCCTTTCCTTCTTTTTCTTTCCTTCTTTTCTTCCTTCTTTTTCTTTTCTTCCTTTTATTTCAATTTCTCCCTTTTTTTTTTTTTTCTCCTTTTCTTCCTCCTTTCTTCTTCATTTCTCTTTTTTTTCTCCTTTCTCTTCCTTTTCATCTTCCTTTTTGTTTTCTTTTTCTTCCTCCTTTCTTTCTCCTTTTCTCCTTTTTTTTTCTTCCCTTTTCCTTTTCTTTCCTTTCTCCTCCTTTTTTTCTTCCTTTTTTTTTTTTCTTCCTCCTTTTCTTTTCCTTTCTTCTTTTTTCTTTTTCCACCTTTTCTTCCTTTTTTTTCTTCCCCCTTTTTCTTTCCTCCTTTTCTTCCTTTCTTTTTCTTTCCTCCTTTTCTTCCTTCTTTTTCTTCTCTCCATTTCTCCTTTTTTTCTTCTTTTCTTTCTTTTTCCCCTTTTTTCTTTCCTCTTTTTTCTTCCTTCTTTTTCTTTCCATTCCTCTTTTCTTTCATTTTCTCTTCTTTTTTTTTTTCTCTTTTCTTTCTTCTTCCATTTTTTTATTTTCTTCCTTTTTTTCCTTCTTTTCCTTCTTTTTCTTTTCTTCCCCATTTCTCATTTCTCCTTTTCTTTTCCTCCTTTTCTTCCCCCTTTCTTCCTTTTTTTCTTTCCTCCTTTTCTTTCTTTTTTTCTTTCCTCCTTTTCTTCCTTCTTTTTTTTCTCCTTTCTTCTTCCTTTCTCCTTTCCATTTTCCTTTTTTTCTTTCTCCTTTTCTTTCCTTTCTTCTCCTTTTTTTTTTTTTTTTCCTTCCATTTCTTTTCCCTCCTTTTCTTCCTTTTTTCCTTTCCTTCTCCCATTTTTCTTCCTCCTTTTTTTTTCCTTTCTTTTTCTCTTTTTCTCTTTTCTTCCTCCTTTTTTTCTCTTTTTCTCCTTTCTCCTTTTCTTCCTTTTTCTCTTCCTTTCTTTCTTTCTTCCTTTTCTTCCTCTTTCTTTTTCTTCCTTTTTTTTTTCCTTTTCTTCATTTCTTTTTCCTTCTTCCCCATTTCTCCTTCCTTTTTCTTTCTCCTTTTTCTTTCCTTTTTTCTTTTCTCCATTTTCTTTTTTTTCTGCTTTTCATTTCTCGATTTTCTTTTCTTTCTTCTCCTTTTTTTCCTTTCCATTTTCCTTTTTTCCTTTTCTTTTTCTCCTTTTCTTTTTCTTCTCCATTTCTTTTCTTCCTCCTTTTCTTCCTCCTTTTCTTTCTTTCTTTTTCTTCCCCTTTTTCATTTCTTTTCCTTTTCTTCCTCCATTTTCTTTTCCCCCCTTTCTCTTTCATTTTCTTTTTCTTCCTCCTTTCTCTTCCATTTTCTTTTCTTCTTCCTTTTTTCTTTTCTTTCCTTTTCTTTCCTCCTTTTCTTCCTCCTTTTTTCTTTTTCTTTTTCTCCTCCTTTTTTCTTTCCTCAATTTTTTCTTCCTTTTTCTTCCTTTTCCTTTTTTCTTTCCTCCTTTTCTTCCTCCTTTTCTTCTTTTTCTTTTTTCTTTTTCTTCCTTTTTTTTTCCTTTTCTCTTCTTTTCTTTTCTTCCTTTTCTTCCTTCTTTTTTTCTTCCTTTTTTCTCCTTTTCTTCTTTTTTCCTTTCTTTTTTCTTTCTCCTTTTCTTCCTCCTTTTTCTTCTTTTCTTTCTTCCTCCTTTTTCCTTTTTCTCCTTTTCTTCCTCCTTTTTTCATTTTCCTTTTTTCTTTTCCTCCTTTCTTTCTTCCTTTCTTTTTTCTTCCTTTTCTTTCTCCTTCTCTTTTTTCCTTTCTTTCTTCTTCCTTTCTCCTTTTCTTTCCTTTTTTTTCCATTTTCCTTTTTTCTTTTTTCTTCTCCCTTTCTTTTCCTTTTTTTCTTTTTTCCTTTCCTTTTTTTCCTTTCCCCTTTTCCATTTCTCCTTTTCTTCATTTCTTCTTTTCTTTCTTTTCCCCATTTCTCCTTTCTTTCCTTTTCTTCCATTTCTTTTTCTTCTTTTTTTCTCCATTTTCTTTTTCCTTTTCTTTCTCTTTTTTTTTTCTTTTTCTTCCTCCTTTTTTCTTCCTTTTTTTCCTCCTTTTTTCATTTTCCTTTCCTTTTTTTTTCCATTTCTCCTTTTCTTTTCTTTTCTTTCCATTTCCTCCTTTCTTCTTTTTCAATTTCTCCTTTTCTTTTCCTCCTTTTTTTTTTCATTTCTTTATTTTTCCTTTTCTTTCCTGATTTTCTTTTCTCCTTTTCTTCCTTTTCTTTCATTTCTCCTTTTTCTTCTTTATTTTCCTTTTCCTCCTTTTCTTTCCATTTCCTTTCTTCCTTTTTCTTCCATTTCCTTCTCCTTTTTTCTTTCCCCTTTTTCTTTTTCACCCTTTTCTTTCCTTTTTTCCCATTTTCTTTTCTTCCTCCTTTCTTCTTTTTCTTTTCTTCCAATTTCTCCTTTTCTTCCTCCTTTTCTTCATTTCTTTTCTTTCCCCCTTTTCAGATTTCCTTTCTCTTTTCTTATTTCTCTTCTTTTCTTTTTTTCTTTTTTCCTCCTTTTCTTCCATTTTTTTCTTTTCCTTTTTCTTTTCTCCTTTTTTTTTATTTTCTTTCTCTTTTTTTTTCTTTTCTTTTTTCCTCTTTTCTTCTCCTTTCTTCCTTTCCATTTCCTTTTTCTTTCTTTCTCGTTTTTCTTTTTCTCCCCTTTTTCCTTTTCTTCATCTTCTTTTTCTTTCTTTTTTCTCCTTTTCTTCCTTTTCTTTTTTCTTTCCATTTCTTCCTCCTTTTCTTTTTCCTCTTTTTCTTCCTCCTTTCTTCCTTCTTTTCTCCTTTTTTTCTTTCCTCCTTTTCTTCTTCCTTCTTTTTTCTTCCTCCTTTCTCTTCCATTTCCTTTTTCCTTCTTTTTTCTTCCTCCTTTTTCTTTCCATTTCTCCTTTTCTTCCTCCTTCTTTTCCATTTTTTTTTTTTCTTCTCCATTTTTTTTCTTCCTTCTTCTCCTTTCCTTTTCCCTCCTTTTCATTTCTCCTTTTCTTTTTCTTTTTTCCTTTTCTTCTTTTCCTTTCTTTTCCTTTCTCTTTTCTTTCTTTTTTCATTTTCCTTCTTTTTCTTTTCCCCCTTTTTTTCTCCTTTTCTTCCTCCTTTCTCTTCCATTTTCTCCTTTTCTTTCCTCCTTTCTCTTTTTTTTCCTTTTCTTCTCTTTTTTCCTTTCTTTTCTCCCTTTCCTCCTTTTTTCTCCCTTTCTTTTTTTTTCCTTTTCTTCCTCCTTTTCTTCATTTTCTTTTCTTCCTTTCTTTCCTTTTCTTTTTTCCTTTTTTTCATTTTCTTTTCTTCCTTTCTTTCTTTCTCCTTTTCCTTTCCTTCCTTTTTCTTTTCTTCCTCCTTTTTCTTCCCCTTTTTTCCATTTTTCCTTTCTTTTTCCTTTTCCCTCCTTTCTTCTCCTTTTCTTTTTTCCTCCTTTCTCTTCCTTTCTTTTTCTTCCCCTTTTCTCTTCCATTTCTCCTTTTCTTCCTTCCTTTTTTCTTTTCTTCCTCCTTTTCTTCCATTTCCTCCTCCTTTTCTTCCTTCTTTTTCCTTTTTCCTTTTTCCTTTTCTCCTTTTCTTCCTTCTTTTTTCCATTTTTCCTTTCATCCTTTCATTTTTTTCTTTCTCCTTTCTTCATTTCCTTTTTTTTCCTTTCTCTTCAATTTCTCCTTTTCTTCCTCCTTTTCTCTTCCATTTCTCCTTTTCTTCCTCCTTTTTCTCCCATTTTCTTTTCTTCCTCCTTTCTTCTCCATTTTCCTTTTTTTCCTTTTTCCCATTCTTTTTTTCCTCCTTTTCTTCTCCTTTTTTCCTTTCATTTCTCCTTTTCTTTCCTCCTTTTCTTCCTTTTTTCTCCTTTTTTCTTCCTTTTCTTCTTTTCTCCTTTCCTCTTTTCCATTTCTCTTTTTTTCTTTCATTTCTCCTTTTCTTCTCCTTTCCTCCCTTTTTCCTTTCTCTTCTTTTTTCTCATTCTTTTCTTCCTTTTTTTTTTCATTTCTCCTTTTCTTTCCTTTTCTTTCATTTCTCCTTTTTTCCCCTCCTTTTCCATTTCTCCTTTTCTTCCTCCTTTCTTCCATTTTTCCTTTTCTTCCCTTTCTTTCATTTCTCCCTTTTCTTTTCCTCCTTTTCTTTTTCTTTTTTTCTCTTTTTTTTCTTCCTCCTTTTCTTCATTTCTTTTTCTTTCTCCTTTTCTTCCTCTTTTTTTTCTTTCCCTTTTCTTTTTCTTTCCTTTTCTTCCTCCTTTCTCTTCCATTTCTTTTTTTTTCCTCCTTTTCTTCTTTTCTCCTTTTCTTCCTCCTTTCTCCATTTTTTTTCTTCTCTTTTCTTTCCTTTCTTTTCTTTTCTTCCTTTTCTTCTTTTTCCCCTCCCTTTCTCTTCCATTTCTCCTTTTTTCCTTTTCTTCATTTCTCCTTTTCTTCCTCCTTTTTTCTTTTCCTTTTCTCCTTTCTTTTCCTCCATTTTCTTCCTTCCCATTTCTTTTTTTTCTTTTCTCTTCCATTTTCTTTTCTTCCCCTTTTCTTCTTTTCTTTCCTTTTTCTCCTTTTCTTTCCTTTTTCTTTTCTCCTTTTTTCTCCTTTTCTTCCTTTTCTCCTTTTTCTTCCCTTTTCCTTTTTTCCCCTTTTTTCTTTCCTGTTTTTTTTCCTTCCTTTCCTCCTTTTCTTTCTTTTTTCTCCTTTTTCTCCTTTTTTCTTCCTCCTTTCTTTTCCATTTCTCCTTTTCTTCCTCCTTTCTCTTCCATTTCTCCTTTTCTTCCTCCTTTCTCTTCAATTTCTCCTTTTCTTCCTCCTTTCTCTTCCATTTCTCCTTTTCTTCCTCCTTTCTTCTCCATTTCTCCTTTTCTTCCTTTCTCTTCCTTCTCCTTTCTTTCTCTTCATTTCTCCTTTTCTTCCTCCTTTCTTTTCCATTTCTCCTTTTCTTCCTCCTTTCTCTTCCATTTCTCCTTTTCTTCCTCCTTTCTTCTCCATTTCTCCTTTTCTTCCTCCTTTCTTCTCCATTTCTCCTTTTCTTCCTCCTTTCTCTTCCATTTCTCCTTTTCTTCCTCCTTTCTCTTCAATTTCTCCTTTTCTTCCTCCTTTCTCTTCCATTTCTCCTTTTCTTCCTCCTTTCTCTTCCATTTCTCCTTTTCTTTCCTAATTTTCTTCTTCCATTTCTCCTTTTCTTCCTCCTTTCTCTTCCATTTCTCCTTTCTTCTCCTTTCCATTTTCCTTTCTTTTCCATTTTCTCCTTTTCTTCTCCATTTCTCCTTTTCTTCCTCCTTTCTCTTCATTTCTCCTTTTTTCTCCTTTTCTTCCTCCTTTTTCTTTCTTTCTTCTTTTCTCCTTTTTCTTCCTCCTTTTTCTTCTCCATTTCTCCTTTTCTTCCTCCTTTTTTCTTCTCCCATTTCTCCTTTTTCTTCCTCCTTTCTTCTTCCTTTTTTTTCTCCTTTTTCTTCCATTTCTCCTTTTCTTCCTCTTCATTTCTCCTTTTCTTCAATTTCCTTTCTCTTCCATTTCTCCTTTTCTTCCTCCTTTCTCTTCCATTTTTCTTCCTCCTTTTCTTCCTCCTTTCTTTCATTTCTCTTTTCTTCCTCTTTCTTCTTTTCTCCTTTTCTTCCTTTCTCCTTTCTTTCTTTCTCCTTCTTTCTCCATTTCTCCTTTTCTTCTTCCTTTTCTCCTTTTCTTCCTCCTTTCCTTTTTTCTTCTCCTTTTCTCTCTTTTCTTCCTCCTTTCTCTTTTTTTCTCCTTTTCTTCCTCCTTTTCTCCATTTCTCCTTTTTTTCTCCTTTTTTTCTTAAATTTCTTCCTCCTTTTCTCTTCCATTTCTCCCTTTCTTTCTCCCCTTTTCTTCCTCCTTTTTTCATTTTCTTTTCTTCTCCTTTCTTCTCCATTTCTCCTTTTCTTCCTCCTTTCTCTTCCATTTCTCCTTTTCTTCCTCCTTTTCTCTCCCATTTCTCCTTTTTCTTCCTTTTCTCTTCCATTTCTCTTCCATTTCCCTTTCTTTTCATTCCTCCTTTTCTTCCTTTTTCTTTCTCCTTTTCTTCCTCCTTTCTCTTCCATTTCTCCTTTTCTTCCTCCTTTCTCTTCAATTTCTCCTTTTCTTCCTCCTTTCTCTTCCATTTCTCCTTTTCTTCCTCCTTTCTTCTCCATTTCTCCTTTTCTTCCTCCTTTCTCTTCCATTTCTCCTTTTCTTCCTCCTTTCTCTTCCATTTCTCCTTTTCTTCCTCCTTTCTTCTTCCATTTCTCCTTTTCTTCCTCCTTTCTTCTCCATTTCTCCTTTTCTTCCTCCTTTCTCTTCCATTTTTCCTTTTCTTCCTCCTTTCTTCCATTTCTTCCTTTTCTTCCTCCTTTCTCTTCCATTTCTCCTTTTCTTCCTCCTTTCTCTTCCATTTCTCCTTTTCTTCCTCCTTTCTCTTCCATTTCTCCTTTTCTTCCTCCTTTCTCTTCAATTTCTCCTTTTCTTCCATTTTCCTTTTCTTCCCTTTTTTCTCTTCCCTTTTCTTCTTCCTTTCTCCTTTCTTCTCCTCTCATTTTCTTTTCTTCTTCCTTTCTCTTCAATTTCTCCTTTTCTTCCTCCTTTCTCCTTTTTTTCTTTCTTTTTCATTTTCCTTTCCTCCTTTTTCTTTCTTCTTTTCTTTTCCTTTTTCTTCCTTTTTTTTCCTTCCTCCTCCTTCTTTCAAAATTTTCTCCTTTTTCTTGAACTTTTCCTTTCTTCTCCTTTTCTTCCATTTCCTTTTCTTCCTCCTTTCTCTTCCTTTTCTCCTTTCTTTCCTTTCTCCTTTCTCTTCCTTTTTCTCCTTTTCTTCCTCCTTTCTTTCCATTTTCCTTTTCTTCCTCCTTTCTCTTCCATTTCTCCTTTTCATTTTCCTTCCATTTCTCCTTTTCTTTCTTTCTTCCATTTCTCCTTTTCTTCCTCCTTTCTCTTCCTTTTTTTTCCTTCTTTTTTTCTTCTTTTCTTTCTTTCTCCATTTCTCCTTTTCTTCCTCCTTTCTCTTCCATTTCTCCTTTTCTTCCTCCTTTCTCTTCCATTTCTCCTTTTCTTCCTCCTTTCTCTTCCATTTCTCCTTTTCTTCCTCCTTTCTTTCTTTCCTTTCTTCTCTCCTTTTCTTCCTCCTTTCTTCTTCCATATTTTTTTCCTTTTCTTTCCTTTCTCTTCCATTTTTCCTTTTCTTCCTCCTTTCTCTTCCATTTCTCCTTTCTTCCTCCTTTCTCTTCCATTTCTCCTTTTCTTCCTCCTTTCTTCTCCATTTCTCCTTTTCTTCCTCCTTTCTTCTCCATTTCTCCTTTTCTTCCTCCTTTCTCTTCCATTTCTCCTTTTCTTCCTCCTTTCTCTTCCATTTCTCCTTTTCTTCCTCCTTTCTCTTCCATTTCTCTTTTTCTTCCTCCTTTCTCTTCCATTTCTCCTTTTCTTCCTCCTTTCTCTTCCATTTTCTTCCTCCTTTCTCTTCCATTTCTCCTTTTCTTCCTCCTTTCTCTTCAATTTCTCCTTTTCTTCCTCCTTTCTCTTCCATTTCTCCTTTTCTTTTTCCTCCTTTTTCTTCCTTTTTCTCCATTTTTCTTTTTTCCTCTTTTCTTTCATTTTTCCTTTTCTTCCTTTTTCCTTTTCTTCCTCCTTTTCTTCCATTTTTCTTTTTCCTTTTTCATTTCCTTTTCTTCCTCCTTTCTTCTCCATTTCTCCTTTTCTTCCTCCTTTCTCTTCCATTTCTCCTTTTCTTCCTCCTTTCTCTTCCATTTCTCCTTTTCTTCCTCCTTTCTTCTCCATTTCTCCTTTTCTTCCTCCTTTCTCTTTTTTTTTCCTTCTTCTTCCTCCTTTCTCTTTTCTTTTCTCTTTCTCTAGGTTTTTTTTTTATTTTTCTTTTTTTATTTTAGTTTTACCTTTTCGTTTTTCTTTTTTACTTTTTCTCATATTCCCTTTTCTATTTTTATTTTTGCTTTTTATATGTTTATTTCTCCTTTTTAATTTCTTTTTTTCTTTCTTTTTTTTTTTCTTTGTCTCTTTGTCCTTCTGTTTTTTTTTTCTTCACCACCCCAGAAATAATTTCTGATGACAGATGGAGTAATAGTAATTCTTGTCATTTGCTCTCCTAAGGGAGACACAGTGGAGTAAGGGATAGCGGCTCGGACTGAAAAACGGAGACCCGAGTTCGAATTCCTGTCTAGTTCTTTACATTCACTTTTGTGCTAATACGCAGCTAGGAGGTAACTAGCAGGACAGACTGGGTACTATAGCTTCGGGTGGCAACCAGTTTAGAACGAGGAAAACTTTGAATTAAAATTAGCTTCGTTAGGCTGTCTTTTCCAGAAAAAAACCACAACAGCTGCATGCGGTGCACCTAACCTAGCAGTCTAGTGGGTTACCGGACACGTGATCGTGAGTATGCTTCCTCGAATTCGTCATTGCCTCAATTGCTTTAAAATGAAATACTAAATTCCTCTTTCTCTCTAACAGATACTCACACTATTTTTAATGCTTTCTATGATTACTTTAATTTTGGTACAAAGACAAATACCAACGAATAGAAGCGCAGAAAAAGATTTATGCGAAACTTCACGAGTGCTTTCCTTTCTTCCTTCCTTGACAATCAAACACCTGATTAATTTAGAAGCTAAAATACTGAAAGATATAGTCCCTATAGAAAATAGGCATGTCTCCCCACGTCAACATGCACTTGATAAGATTGATATTATCTCCTTGTTTACTGCAAAGATAATACATATTCTGTTAAGGCGGGGGAGTAGGAAAATTTACCAGAACGCCAATTGTCACTATTTGAGCCTTATCCTAACGATGACTTGTTAAGTCTATTACATGTAAGATGGATAAAATATATACATATATAAATTTATACTTAATATTCCATTGATCTAGTGCCAGAACTAGTCTAATCTTGCTAAATCGCTCTTCAAGATTTTCTGTTGAACTTCTTCTTGATATGATAATTCCAATTGTTCTCGGGAAATATAGGTTGGTTTTCCCCAAGATTCGAAGAAGGATGATCTTCATGGAAATTCTTCGAACCTTGTAAACTGGTGCTAGGGAATCAGAAACAAAGAACTTTACCAAATAACAGAAACTACATCGCTTGAAGATTATCAACAATAACAAGTAAAATTTATATAACAGGTAATTCGAAGAGAAAATAATCAAGATGTTGATATTCCACACAACTTAAAACAAAAGATTAGGAAGGAAACCATTATCAATACTGGAAAGGGCAATAACAGCAATTGGACTTAAGAAATATATTTTCCTGAAAATTTTTTTACGGGAAGATTTTATAAATTCCAACTGACACTGGAATTGACAGGATGGTCAATGAATGCCGAATGTTTCCTTATAAGGAAACGGCTAATAAAACCATTATGATTTTCATTGTATTTTCTATGGTTTTGAATCTATTGTTGTCTTTTACTTGTTGCTATGTCTGATGAGCTCAATATTCTGAGCTATTTAACTGGGGAAGGTAGTCAATAAAAAATAATTACATGATTTTTCCCAAACTGAAAATTGAAATCTGCCTGATGATTCTATTTTATGACCTAATAATATTTTTTATTAATGCGGCACGGTAGAGTTCAAAGAGGCAGGGTAGAGTTCAAAGAGGCAGGGTAGAGTTCAAAGAGGCAGGGTAGAGTTCGAATTCCAGTCTAGTTCATTATGTTCACTTACCTTGCTCATACCTTTCGGAAAGATATGAATTCAACTCTTCTACTTTCGCCCCAAAAGATATGGATGAATAATAGAAGAGACTATAGCCTTGGCTTGCAACCGGTCTAGGAGAAAGAAAACTCAAAATTCAAAATTTTATTTAGCCCTGGTGAAGCACAGAAAGGGCGGCTAAGGAAAAGATCGTTCGCATTGACTCAATGTCCCGACAACGGTCGACTCCTTCTTTTTTTACTACCTTATCCGTTCAGGACGTAACCAGTCGTACCTCTCTAGCGTCTCCCTCCTTTATTACCTGGGAATTGCCATGATTTCTTGAAAAATATAGTGGAGCGATTATTCGCTTCTCCCTCTACGGAGTTGAATTCAGTGTTGTCTTTTCCTAGACTGGTTATCACCCAAGGCTACAAATCCAAATTAACCTGTTATTTAACCCATAGCTGGGAGGAGAGAGAAGAAATTATTTCATGCCTCTCATAATGGGGATTAGTGCGAAATGAATGTCTCAGTTGTTAACTGGGACAAGAAATGGCCTGTAAATTTGAACGCCATCAAAACAAAACTGTTTTTGTAATTCCCAAATAATTTATTTTGTAATTTCAAATTTACAGGCCATTTCTGCCTGCCATTGGAATGATTGCTGCTAAATTACAGGAGATCAACACTCTGCGTCTACTTGGACTCCCGTTTTCCACTGATATGTAGTGTATTGGCTATATTGAATAAATTACTGTGTCGGCTGCTAGGAAAGTTGATTCACAGTGTTGTGCCAGAATTTTATCGTCAGAATCCATTTTACACATTCATAAATCTACCGTTCGTCCGTGCATTGAATATTGCTGCACTATTTGGTGCTTCTGCTGCATCTCAAGAGGAAAAAAATCCAAAGAATGGTCTGTAATGTAATCAATCTCGACCTGGCATCTCGACTTCAGTCACTTTCTCGCCGACGTAACGTGGTTTTCTTGTGTCTTTTCCACAAATATTTTCATGGCAAATGACGAGCTTTTATCCCTGGTCTGACGACTACACGAATTTAAGCGTCCTACTAGATTGCCAAGTAGGTCTCGCCGTTTTACAGTTGAACTAACTAGATGCAAACGCCACTTATTTTTTCTCGCACCTTTCCCCTGTGGAATTCCCTCCCGATTTTTGGCTTCCCTGCCACGTACAATCTTCAAAAACTTAATGCAGCGTCAATCGCCATCTTCTGTCTTCCTGAACCTTGTTTCTTTATTGTCCTTTCCTCACTCCTCCTTACAAAAATATTTCAATCACTCTACACCCCCTCACCTACGTCCTGGTGGTATATCACCTTGCTTGGGGTGAAATAATTATAAAAAAGAAAAAATATGTATTCTGTCCGCTGAGGGCACCTCGACGTGGTGTAATCGTTAGAAAGCGTGTCTTGCTAAATCAATTACGACTGAGTAGTGAGTTCGATCCTCACTAGGTCCCCCTATACTTTCGACCTTGCGCCACATCTGAACTGTGCTTAGAAATCACTACTCTGCCCGCTGATTGCATTTTCCACGCCGAGAACAGTTACGATACCCACGTATACTTGCCAATCGTTTGCTAGTTTTATAAAAATATCTGTCGGTCACGTTTGCAACTAAAACAATCCTCCTGGGTTTGAAGCAATGGACAACAACCAGTCTCTCACGCCATTATTCCTATAGTGAGTCCAATTCTTAATGGATGATGTGCATTTATGTTTATCTCTTGTAGTAAACTAAACTTTTTTTTTCAATACTAAAGTTAAACCAATACAAGCCTCGAGAGCTCCTTCATGTAGAAGGTTATTGTAAAAATGGTAATAATTAATGAGGTGAGTTGATATCAATGAAAGAATAAATAAAGATTATGATGATAACGAGGAGAGATAACAACCCTACCCTTGGAATGAAGAGGTTAAGTTGGAATTGTTCAGGAAAGCATTCATGCCTATTCCACACTGTAGCGGTTCTTTGGGAAAAGATGTTTGAGTGAAACTTCTTACATTTGGAATAGGGTAGTAACGTGGTTGATTCGGTTCCGTGACGCTAGCATAATCTGTCTAAGCAGTAAATGTCTGAACTGGTGGAACTAACAAATGAATCTCATCCGAGCGTTTGCTGTGGAAATAGCGATAAAACAGCAATAGATTTGTGATGTTCTCTCTGCAGGTAAGAAGCTAAAAGGCAGAGAATAAAACTTCAACCCACCCCCACTATCATAAACCTGTAAAAGATTTTGAACTAAAAAAAATGGAAAGGAAGATTGGGTAGCTCCAGCCGAGCTATGGCAATAATATTCTATTTTTGTTTTTTTCTAATCTGACTCCTGTAAGAGTAAAGCATGCCAAAAGGTATCAGACAATTCTTGAAGCGATAGAATGATTTAACTCTTTCCAGTTTTGTCCCATTTTTATATCGAGTGAAGAAGATAAATTAAAATAGAATATGCAAATATACATTATATATTTGCTAGAAATACATATGAAAATTTCACAGTTTTAATTTTCTGATGAATTTTAATTCTTTAGTTAATGATTGAATAAGCTCACGGGAAGTTCTACGATAATAAAATATCCGTAGAAGTTCCCCTATCATATCTTTAAATATTTGAGCTTAACAACTTTACACTATTTATATTATTCGGACAATTGTCCTCATCTTTGTTACCATATTTATCACCGGCCTTCTGCAGTATCTCAGGGTTCAGTTCGACATTCCAACCACCTGAAGAAGGTGGTTGGAATGTCGAACTGGACCCTTTATTTCGCTCGCTGGGGTCGACTGTTCTAGACGTGCCATAGATGTCAGTTATGTGTTATCTCCTGTTAATTCACCTTTCCAAGTTCTTAATCAGGTATAGAAAGGACAACTCTTTGTTTCCCCTCACTGGATATTACCAATGCCTTTATCCACTGTGCCATGTGTCTTTAAGGACAGTGCTCATATTGCATTTTTTGCTGTTATTATCAATTTTTTTACCAGAGCTCATATTGCAATTTTCGTTGTTATTATTGCTTTTCTCTGGCACTCCTTATTACTGGTTCCCATATTGTATTCATTCTATACTTGGTCGGCTCTGGAGATTTTTGTGGGCTAGCATATGTGCTGATTCCTTAAGTTTACGAATTTTCCAATGATGTTTTTTGTCTATGATTTCAACCTGATCCCACTGAGAACGGTGATCTCCCTTTTCTCTCGATATA